TAATAGCTTAGAAGTAAAGTCTAAAGAAGAAGCTGGTCACGAGACTTATAATCTAGAAGATATAAAGCAAGGAATTGAAAGAGAGGCTGTAATGTTGCAATACAGGATCACAGAATTTGCGATCAGAATTAGAGGCTTACAGGAAAATAATAGTGATGACTTAAGAAAAACATCTGCTCAAGTTTTGGCTGGGATCTTAAAGGTTCATCACGGGGACGTAATCAGTAAAATTGATAAGGCTTACAGAGTGGATTCCTGGATTGCCAAGCAAAGGCAATTGCCTAGAGATGTGGTAATTTACTTTACAGAAAAAGAGATAAGAAATGATATTCTGCAAAAATCCTTTAACTCTACTTTACAACTGAATGGGAGAAAAATTTGGATATATAAGGAATTGCCGCCCAAGATCTTAAGAGATAGAAAGAAATTTGGGCCCTTGGTGACTGAGTTAAGAAGACAGAATATCTTATACAGGTGGGATGTCCCAGTGGGTATAATATTGAGATATCAAGGAGTAAGATATCAGTTAAATACTTTTGAAAAAGCGGAAGAATTCTATTATAAGGTACTTAAAAAGCAAAATCAACAAGAGATAGAAACCCAAGAAAAGCAGAAGGAGATGGAAATAACGAAGAAACAACAAATTAAAGAGGTCTCCATAGATGAGCCGCTTTTGGATCCTCTTTCAGAGGCCTCAGCTGGATTATCTAATATAAGAGAGGCGGTTCCGGACCCTAATGCAATGATTTGTCAAGCCACAAACGAGCATGTAAGTCAATCAGCTGATATACAATTTACAGAACCAGAAAGATCTCAGCCACAGATGCAAACCCAACAGGATCAAGCTACTCTTCAGCAAAACCAAATAGTTGATACACAATCTACAGAAAGGAGTTTAGGATGGAGATCCAACCCACGAGAAGTTAAGAAAAGAAGAAGTAGGTCTCACAAACATAAAAACTTTTAAATTAAACAACAGTGTAATGCCAGTTACTTATGAGAGGACTGAATATATAAAAAGATAATGGGCAAAATATTGGCTTATTTTATCCTGAGGAGAGTGGCAGATCTCTGCAGTGCTGAATTATTGGGTGTGAAAAAGGCCTTAAACCAAATGGTTGGAAATATCTTGTTTGTTTTTTGGAGTTCCGGATAAATACGTGTATGCTGAGCTATATGGCAAGAGACTTATTGGATTGGGGCACGCAGAAGATCTGGTTGTTACCCTATTATGATGGTTGGAACCAATTATCTGGATCAAAGACACCTCCATAAACATTATATGGAATATAATTATAAAGTCACTCGGATGGTAACTGAAGATATCGAAAATACTGTTGGAATAAGGATGCGATGTTACCCTAACATGGGTGGAGTTCATCATCCAGTTGAAAGATATTCCAGAAGATGCTATATGGATCATAAGTTTAAAGTTTTTTTTTTTTCTTTTAGGATCTTATTTACATAAGGGAATATTTTTCTAGGGGATGGGGTAGAAGAATAAAGATATTAAGAATAATTATGGTAATTCTGTAGGAAAGTGGGTGGAGAAAGGTTAGGTTATGGATCATCTATTTTAAAGAAATGTTTAGATGTGAATATTTGTAACGAAGGGGGGAAACGAAATGGCTACTGGAACTGAATAAGTGTTAAATTAGGACTTTTTGAATACTTAGAATAGAAGTATGTTTTGAAATGTTATATTGTCTGAGGGGTAGTAAAAGGGTAGACTACGAGTAGAAATTGTTAAATTGGGAGATATAATAATATTATTATTTTAAATTAGGAGTTATTAGATAATGTTATAATAGAATGTCACTTTGAAATGCTTATTATAGCATAGTATACGGGGGGGTATGATAATCTTATTAAAATGAAAGGGTTAGTATATGGAGATTGAGTATGTGGATAGTAAAGTATGATATAATCTGTTATGAACTTGGGTTTTACTATGAGGAAGTCAAGGGGAGGGGGGGTGGGGGGGGAGGGGTGGGAAAAAGGGGGAAAAATCTGTATTTGAAAAACTTTTTCAATTAAAAAAAAACAAAAACTTTCTTCTTCCTGGTGGCATTTGCTTTCATTTTGCTACCCAGAAACACTACTAAATAATGAGGAAGAGGTACAAAACATCTCTCTTTATAGAGGGACAAAAATACTGTTGACCCAACACTCTATTTTTGTTCTACGCCTGGGGGAAATAGTCATTAGAAGGTTCCAGAAGGTAGAGTATAGATATGCAATGTTCAGTGTATGAACCATTTCATGCTCAGAACAGCTGGTTTTGGATAGTTCCTATACAACCTGAAATGGATAAGTTTCAGCTGTCTGGGGTCATGCGTGTTAGCAAATCCTGACAGAAGTGGTTGAGGGGAAAAGTGGGTGAATGGAAAAAAGGCAAAGGGAGAGAGGGAAGCAAAGAACAGCAGTAGGCCAATTAATTGTCTCCACTGGAAATCTTCCTTATTGCTAACACCAGTAAAGAAGGACAGGCCAATATATTGCAACAAGATGAGGTGAAGGTTTGTTCTGAGCTTGTGGGTTGATTTCCAAACGTTTCGTTACCAGGCTAGGTAACATCTTCAGCAGAGTTTAGGGAGTGTCTGGTTTTTTTTGGTTGTTGTTGTTTATAAGGGCTTCAGGTGTAGATGTGTCAAGTGAGGATCTTGTGATGGGTCAGCTGTGAGTTGTTGATGGGTCTTGTGATAAGATTACGTAAGGTCAGAGTCATTGGGAGGTGAACTGCTGGGGGGGGGTTGCGTGGATTGATTGAGGGTTGGTGCGGTCTCTGGTTGGCTATGGGGTTGATTTGGACCCTGAGGGGTTCATAGGCTGATTGTAGGTCAGTCTGTCTGTTGATGGAATTGCTTGCGGAGTGCCAGGCTTCGATGAACTTACGAGCGTGGCAGGTGGTAGTGTGGCTGATGATTTTTGTGTTGCTCCAATCGAACTGGTGCTGTTTGGTGTTGGTGTGGGTTAAGGATTAAGGATTTGGGATTGTGGTGTTTGACTGCCAGCCAGCTGTTGTTTGTGGATCCTGGTTTTTAATTGACGTGAGATTTGTCTCATGTAGAATTGGCTGCAATTGGTTAGTTGATTTTGTAGATTACATTGTTTCTTTCATCGTTCTGTATTTCTGTATAAGGAGAAGAGGCTGAGAAGATTGGAGAGCCAGGTCAGTTGATGGGACGTGCCATCACCTCTAATCAACATGGAAGTGACATGGCAGAGAGGAGGGGAGCTGCTGAGATGGGAAATAAGATGGTAAACATTTTATAAACAGGAGCTGGTCAGAATTAGCAATCTAGCTGCACCTTTCTTGACCAACAAATATTATTAAAAGGCATAGTTTTGTAAACTGAAGCTCATTTCATAGGATGCATAGTGGTTAGATTGATGCAGGATTTAAATCAGGTTGAGTCGGGAGTGAAAAAAGTGGAAAGAGAGAAGGTAGGTTGGCTATGTCTAAAACATTACAATAAATCAACAACTATAAAGTGTCAAAAACTCCTTGTATTTGTTCAGACCTTCTGAAATTGCCCACAACCTTTTGATATATGCAAGTTCAACAATTGTTTGAAAGTGCTGTTAAAAGTCCCACTTTTCCAAAGTGGTTACTTTGAGGTTTGCTGTAGAACATCTGGGAGGTTTAAACGCTTTCATGTTATGTTAGCCTTGTTTTGAGTCTTTATGTCAAACTTTTCTCCACTATTTTTTTGTCCCTATGTAGAATCCAGGGGAGATAGCTTGCAGATGATGACATATATCAGTTGGAAGAATAATATGTGAAGGTGCCTCTAATTAGTGTGTATTTGTTGGGGCCTGTGATGTATATATACAGGAACCAATTTTTGCCATTTTGATATTATAGACTAACAAGGGCCTCCTCCTACAATGTCAGAAGCTACTCAGGGAAGGGAGATCTGGATTAAATGAGGGTGGAAATCTGAGGCAATATATTACCATGCTTGATCTTGATGTTATCTTGTCCAAACCAGAGCACCCTAAGAAGCCCCAAGATTTAGCTCTGCTGAATTGTAACTGATTCAAAATAGTTTGATAGAATCTCCAGAACATGAAATTTTGCTTTCAGTTTCTAGGGAAAACTACTGTTTTCTAATAAGGTTAGAGCCTTGGTAGTACAGTGGTCTAAGGCACCCTGTTATTAAGCTGGTTATTAAGACTGTATTAAGAATCTCGCCAAGGCTCAAGGTTGACTCAGCCTTCCATCCTTTCTAAGGTAGGTAAATTGAGGACCCAGTTGTGGGGGTAATAAGCTGACTTTGTATAAATATACAAAAGAATGAAGGCTATTGCTTAGCACATTGTAAGCCGCCCTGAGTCTCCGGAGAAGGGCGGCATATAAATCTAAATTAAAAAAAAGGTTGTTTATTGTTCCACATATCATCAGGTTCATGCATATATTAAGCCATAACATGATCTGTTTTGTCTTAGCATATCTAAAGCTATTGTGCCTTGTATTGTAGCTTTATTCTTCGTTGTTTGTTCAAAAAATAATAGCAAGATGAACAAGATTGGCCGTTGCAATTTGTGTGTAGTTTATGGTTTAACCTGCCATGTTAACTAATCATGGCTTATTAAATAATCATGGTTAAACTAAGTTTAGCAAGATTAATACATTTTGTAAGGTTTGCTCATAGAGCTTGACAAATATTTGCCTGCTACCTCTTCTATAACAGCAGTCAGAATTTTTGAAAGGCACATCCCCCAAAAATAATTCTGCAGAAAGAACCTACCTTCAGTTGCATAATTTTCACTTTCAATGAAAGCTTGCCATGGACACAGCTGTAAACTGCATTTGAAACAAATTGCCGCCATTTGCCCCGGTGTTACACAAGTTAGGTTTTTCAATTATGACAAAACAGAACTATCTATTGATTGCATAGCTTCCACCATCACAGGCCACAGGCATTACTGAACAGCAATTCTTTTTGATCCAGTTAAAGATACTAGCACAGAAAAAAGGAGAGGGGGATTCATGCTTATTGTCCAGTTACTCAATTTTTAATGTGCAGAAAAGGCTGAATCACACATTCACAATCAAAGCAGGCAATGAACAAGCTCCAAATAAGGGAGAAGGAGGAAGAGAACCATTTACAGCAGTGCAGCAGCCCCTCTAAAAGCATTGCTACTCACATCTACCTAATTCAAGTATGAAACATTAACCTACTAGTAGCTAATAATTTGGGAAAGGGGTGGAATTTGAAGACCATTCTGTGGGCATTCACATGACAGTCATTGCCATTTAAGTTTATCTTTTCATTAAGCAGTTGGCATGGTGACATAGCTAATCACAAAAACACCCATTTATCAAAAGGTAACTCATTGAGGCTGCTGTCTGCTACCCAGCTATATTCTTCTCCCTTTTCTATACCATCAGTTAGTTTGACTTGTCTGGGGACATGGAGCCCACTTCCAGACCAAGCACTCAGGTGCAACTCCTTATGTCTATGAAGATTCTCAGTCATTCAGGTCATGGTTGTCCCAAACCACTTAAGAAAGGGCTGTAAAAGCACTATGAAGCGATATGTAAGTCTAAATGCTATTGCTATTACTAAAGGTGCTTTTTCAGGAGGCAACTGGATTTTCTTGTTTTTCCTTGGACGTTCCACTTCTCATCCAAGAAGCTACTTCAGCTTTGACTGAATGGGGGGAATGGAAGGATTTATACTCCTTGCAGACAGCTGATCATTTGCATTCTTTTAGAGCAGGGGTGTCAAACTGGTGGCCTGTGGGCTGGATGTGTCACGCACAGGCCATGCCCACTGCAGCTGCACTAAGGGGAAAACATCACAAAACATCACATGATGACAATATGATGCCATGAGTTTGACACTCGTGTTTTAGAGTTGTTGAGGCCATTTGGGAATTTATTTGTGTCCTTAGGGACACCCGAGTAGTGCAAATGGGTGTAGAGCCTTCTTGGCTGTAGGATGTCCAGTGAGAGCTGAAGAAGCTTCTTGAATGACAAGCAAAATGTCTTCAAAGAAAAACAAGAAAGTCCAGTTGCCTCGTGAAAATGTACCTTTGGGACAACTCCTTACCATGTTTATTTAGTAAGGCCTACGGAAGCCCACAGGCTCCTATACATAAAAGTGATATTGAAGGCAGATGTTGTAGGTATTGACAAGCTAGTTTCTCTCATGGTTTCAGTTAGAAAATATAAGTAAAAATCATTGGAGTGCAGATCCTGATAGTTATCCTTCTTCAGTATTTTGCAGTTGTTCAGTCATTCACAAAACAAGTTATCAATTACTCTAGGCAAGCTTTTGGAAGAGGCTCAAACTTCAAAAATATGTGGCATTGTAAGGAAAATTTGTTTCCATAAAGTCCACCATTTCCTTTCATTTTTAAATGCATGTGCAAAACTATAGCAGTGCATGCTGCTAGATCTTACCTTATAATTATACACAAGCTGTTTCAAGGTCATTACAGATTGGCTGATGAAATGTTCAAATTAGTTTGGACCCATTAATGGTAGCACCTAATATTCAAAACCCAACTGAGGAAGTTGCAAGATTCTTTATATAAGTATCAAGATGTATTGCCTTTACAATCCATGAAGTAAAATATATCTAATTTATTTAAATAATTTGAGCATTCGTGCTTTGCAGCTACTGCTAAAGCAGAAATGTACAGAGATTTCTACAACTTTCCTCTTCTAGCCGAAGTTATAGCAACAGTGCTAAAGTAGTCACATGTTCCAAAAGACTAATAAATCTCTGCCCCAAACAGCTTAACAAGTTGGTAGGCAGGAGGGCAGCCTCATCTCTCTCGAAACAACTGACCTGGCTGGACTATTTTGGGACACAAAAGGTTTACAAATCTTCCAGAAAACAATTGCATTCAGAAATGCAATTTAGGAGGTACCTAAAGCCTCCATCACAGACCATACTCAAGCATACTAACCTACCACACTGAGAAGAGAGTGACTTGTGGAGTTTCTTTTCAGCAAATGGGAAGGAAACAAAACAGAAAATTACTGCCCTCAAATTGGCCCATAGTAAATCTATATGGACAGGACTATTCAAAGCCCCCTTACTAGGACAGATTACAACTATTGGGAGCACCAATTATGTCATCATTTATTTCTGCCAACTCTGCTACTAGAGGAATACAGGGAGTCCTCATTTAGCTACTACAACTAGCATCAGCAATTCCGTTATTAAACAAAGTGGTTGCTAAGAGAAATGATGTGCTTATGATCTTACTTCAGCTTTTCTGCAAAAGTCATAAAGTAAGAATTATTTGAAAAAATACCTTTTCATCGTGACCATCATTTTGTGGCTTTCACTGCCTGCTTTGACAGTAAAATGGGCAAAATTACTCTTGATAAAAGTAGTCCTGGATTTAAGACAGCTCATTTAACAGTGGAGGAAAGTTACAGCAGTGTCCCAAAAAAAAGTGACTTACAATCCATCCTTGGAATTGCAACCCTGCAGTCACATGTTATTAATTTGGGGCTTGGCAAATGGCTCATATTTATGAGGGTTGCAGCATCCTGCTATCACATGATCACCAATGCAATCTTCCCAGCTGGCTTCCCATAAGCAAAGTCAAGGGGGGGGGGGAGGTCACACATGGATTTACTCAGCAGCTGTGCAAGTCACTTAACAACCATGTGATTCGCTTAACAACTATGGTAATTGTTAACTACCGACTTCAGTAAAACTGATTGTAATATTGGTTCCACTCATATGACTTGGTTAACAACCATAATGTTTAGTAACTGTTAATTCTGGCCCCAATTGTGTTTGTAAGTCAAGGACTATCTGTATTTCCTTTTTTTAAAAAAATATGCTGATGTAAATATATCCAGAGATCTTGCTACATATATCCTGGTGGAGTGCTTTTCAACTGAAGATCCTGAGCAATCGTAACTAGGAATGTAGTCATTCCTTCCCTGTCTTATCTTATGAATAACTACACTTGAGAAGGAACATGCTCCTGACTCTTGAAAAATGAGGCCAAGGTTCCTAGATATGTATTTTAAAATATTACTGAGTTCATCTAACACAACAGAATGCTGGACTGAATAGCACTGAGTTATTTAAAACAGCTCTGTGCTACCTTCAGTTACACTCCTCTTACTGGTATAGGTAGAAGATTCTATTGAAATCATTATAGCTAATTATAAGGATTACAGCTAATTATATTAGATACTTCTTTCTCCCTGCTCCCCCTTCCCTCAAAATTGCTCCAGCATTGCAAGACATAGTCATGGACATGGCAACTACAGTTATAAGTTCTGAAATTGGAAAGGTTTCTGAAGTCCATTATTAGTCGTTCTCCTCAAGAAAAATCCTTTCTTCTTCTCCATTAAAGGTAACATTTGCGCTCTGAATTCATACAACATTTCAATTGGTTTCAAACAATAAACAAATAATTGTCAGGATTACATATTAGCAAGCAGCCTAAGAAAATAATACATTGCTCAATGGAAATATGCAAAAGTTGTACGTTCTCTTTGCAAGCAGTCTTTCTTCTCTCCTGAGATGAAGGCAGTCAAATGGTGAATCTGGCTGGGTCATCACATCCAAGTCAGCATTAAACTCTGAGCTCAGCAGAAAAAGCAGAGTTCTGCATTTCTTTCAATCATGTATGCATTGCCTCTGGTTCTGGATATATTGTCCTGAATGTCAAATTTATACGTGGTTCCCTAGAGTGATACTCCTTGGGAACACGGTGCTGAAAAAGATGCAAAAAAACAGCCCTTCAATTACATAATACATATTAAGGAAATACAAATATTTTGTTCTTTGGCATGGAAGATACCAAATTGTACTTAAAATGAGTTTCCTTATAACTGCTATACTTATAACTGCTATACTTCGTAAAAAATAAAGAAGAGGCCAAATCCCATCTTTCCTTTTGTTCTTTTCTTTTCTTTTTTTCTGGTTAATAATACAACATTATTTGCTTACTGCATTATTTCACAGGTGGCAATCTCATGCCTTCTGGTTGGCCAAGAAGAAAAAACAAAACTAAGATTTTTGTGACCTATGAAAGACAAGCAGCCCAATCTCATAGCATAGCATTCCCCAAACTTTGCGACTTGGTGACCCGGATGGGAGGGAAAGGGGAACTAGGATGCATGAGCAGCAGGCTGGCGCATATGTGCACAGCTCCACTCAACCCGCTGCATGTGTGAGTGGAGTTGAATGCACACATGTGTGCCAGCCTACCTCTTGCATGGCCCAGTTCCGAATAGGCAGCAGCCCAGTAGTGGGCTGCAGTCCAGGGGTTGGGGACCTGTCATAGCAAACAACTTTTCATTTCTCCCCACCTGCATGTGTTTCATTGTTGCATTAGCCTCAGGTTCCAATCCTATACACAGATGGTCATGCTTACAACCATCACAGCATCTCCATAGTCACATAATCAGAATCTGGATGCTAGGCGAACAGTTGCAGCATCCCAGTGTCACATGATCACCATTTATCACCAACTTCCATTAAGCCAAGTCAAAAGGGAAATGACAGCATGATTCCTTAACAACCATGACAGAAAGGTCATAAAATTGGGTGTGACTCACTTAACAACCACCTTGCTTACCAAGGGAAATTCTGGTCCCAATTGCTGTCATAAGTCGAGGACTACCTAAATATAGATCTGTAAGGAAGAAAACAGCATTTGTATAACTTTTCTCTAGGCTCCTCACCTGCCAGTCTTCTTGAGTAGCTCCTTCCATCATTAGCAAAGTACCATGATCCAATGGTATGTGAACTCTTTGGACATAAGTATAATCATTGTTATCCTCCTAAAAAAGATGCATTAAGTATGATTAATCTATAGTCATAAAATTCTAGAAGTGGAAGCAGCTACTTAGGCTATTTTATTCAACCTCTGTCTAAGTAGATGTTTTAGCTTCTGCTTGAATACCATGAATATAGGGAAACAAAATGTCCTTAAGCCAAGTGTTCTCATGACTTCCTATAAGAATTAATGAATTTGTGCAATCCTTCCGATGACTAAATCTAATAATATCATTAGGGTTAGGCATGGACAACCCCCATTCTTTTATTAATTAAAGTTTAGTCTGATAAAACAATGATACATTTTGCAATTTTATAAATATAAAATAACTTAGAAACTGCAGCTAGTCCACAATGTGGCGATGCATGAAAGGCAGCATCATGTAAAGCAGCAGTCTACATGCAAGTAGACTACAATATGCATCATTGAAGGAGGATAACTGAAATATCACACAAATTTGGTCACAGCTGCCACATCATCTTGCAACAGAAGCTGCAAGTCCAGGAGGACCCCCAAATTGCACATTAGGTCTGCCTGGGGAACTGTGTTCCCATTCAGGCTAAAAAATGGGAGCCAGTTTGATCTAATGGTTAAGGCACTCAGCTAGAAAGCAGGAATCTATGAGTTTTAGTCCTGCCTTAGCCATGAAAGCAGCTGAGCTCTCTCTCAGCCCAACTCACCTCACTGGGTTGTTGTTGTGGGGAAAATAGGAAGAGGAAGTTGTGTTGGGTATATGTATCACCATGAGTTACCGGTATTTGTAAAAATAATACAGGCAGGATACAAATACATTTTAAAAATCTATGGTAGTGGAAGCATTGAGAACATTCCAATTCGGCATGGAAGCCACCCTCCCAATCCCACCTCCAGATTATAAACAGTCACTGAAAAAAGACCTCAACAACTTGGTCAGTTTGGGATTGAGATACAGTTGAGTATCATCCAGATAATAATGATAGCAAACTCTGTTTCTGCAAATGACCTCAATCACAGGCTTAATACAGATGTTAAACAGGTGAGGCAAGAACCAACTGGCCATGTGAAGAAGAGGAGAACTACGCAACTCTGTTCCCCTCATTCTTAATCCACACAGTGCATTTGGAAAAATACCAGTACTATATTTAACAAGTTATGCCATCTGTACTGGCCTAAAACCCAATTGACATGGGCCTAGATAACCTACTTCTTTCAGAGCCTTCTGAAGCAGCAACTCAAGTACCTTCTCAATAACAAAGAAGGGAAGGTTGGAGACTGAGAAAAATATTCAGAATTGTTGGATCCACTAATGGCTTCCTGAGGAGATGGCACATTGCCATCTCCTTCAGGGTAGGCAGAACCACACCCACATTAAAAGATCCATTCACCACCATAGGGATCCAACCATATATTATCACTCAACAAGAGATATGAGGGGCATGGGTCTAAAAAGCAGGTAATGGATCTTGTCCTCTTTCATGGGGCACAGGGTCGAAAGTTCCAGGGAACAAGACAAGTTAGTACTTCTGTCAAATCATACAGAATGCCCAGTCAGAGTCTAATTCGTAGATTATATTCAAGAGGGGTCCATGATAATGCAGATAGCTTCATGATGCAACCCAGCAGAGAACCTGATTAAACAGGGGTGCTGGCCAATAACCATTTATGCTACAATGCCATGTCTAATTAAAGCTCTTATGTATTTGGTAGATTCATTCTTCTACTATCCCCAATAGCATACTAAGTCTCTCTTTTGTCATTTCATCTCCAGGAGCTCCTCAGAAAACAAGGAAGCTTTTCAGGACCAAGGAAAAAGAAGCCAATGCAATCTGATCCAAGGTCCTTGACACCTGCCCATTCTCAAGGGCAACTAAAGTCTTAGCTGGATTGCCCATCATATCCCTAAGTTTTCTGTGAAATCTATCAAGATTTATTAGTATGGGTCAGCTTCATCTGATAGGTCCAAGCTCCCAGCAGGGGTGGGGAAAGGGCGAGTAAAATGACAACAAACCATAAAGTGATCTAACCATAATGAAGGAGTGCTAATAATATCCTTCATCTTCAGATCACACCACAACTACCCCAAAATAAAATCCAGGTCTAACATGTGATCACCACTATGTGCTAGCCTCTAAAAATCTGGGATAGATTCATGGTTGCCATGAGCTCTTTCACCAATCCATTCTGAACACCACATGCTGTCTTGAATAGGCAGAACAACAGCAAGTTCTGTTGGTGTGTAAAGCGAGAGTGGGTGTGAGTTCCGGCAGCTGCTGGCTTCCAAAAAAGATAGAGAGGAAACCCAAAGTGCATCACCTCTCAGTATATCTGTATAGTTCCTGTTGAATTTCCCATCCCCTTTGTGATCTTAGCTGCCCTTGTCTGATATTTATATCCCATCTTTCCTCTAAGGAGCTCAAGCATTATAAACAGTTCTTCCGTTTCCACTGTAATTCTAATAATACTCCCGTAAGTATTAGGTAATGACATAGCAATTGGCCTAAGCTGAGCACACCATGCTTATTAAATAAGAAAACAACTTGGAGTCAGATGTCTAATTCTAAACAATCAGATATCCAGCAACTCTTGAAATACCTCCAGATGAGGTTTATATTGTATTACCAGAGTTCAAGATACTGCCACTTTCTGTCCCAGATAGTTCCATTACATGCAGTCCTTATAGATTACAAAAGTAATTCAGTTTAGTAGGAAAAGATGGAACAGCTACACAATGTAATTGGTAGAACCAGAAACAAGTACAAGGAATGATGAATTTCTGCAAGCAGTATTCCTACCATTAAGAAAACATCCAGAAAATATTTTCCTGAAAGAATTATTTTTCTACAGCTAGAATCATTTGTAAGGACAATGTGGAATGTAGATACATGTAGCTTCCATTGACTAAATGGTATTATGCTCTCAACCAAGAAGTATCCAAAGTCTTCCCAGATCCATATTGAACTCAAGATTCTTCCCGAGTTAAAAATTCAACTACTATATCATCTATCCTTGAGTTTGGTGAATACGTTCATAAATTTTGTTCCAATATATTTCTTTTTTTAAAAAAAAAAGTTCTTGCAAATCCACTGCAATATTGAATAGTAATAAGCATCTCCCACAATTAAGGAGAGAACTTTTTCAAGTCTTAAATGTTGACAGGATATTAGGCAATTGGTTAAAAAAATACTCTGAGGAAGTTTCTATGTACTATTCTATAGGATCCATCCACACAGTGTATCAGATTTCAGAGAGAAAATGCTAGCAGTTTTATTACAGTAGTTATTGATGTTCAAGATGGAATGAGCTCCCCCCAGAGATACGGAGGATTCCGGATCTGCGCACCTTCCGCCGCGAGTTGAAGACGCTTTTGTTTCATCAAGCTGGCCTCGCCTAAATCTCCTCCTTTCTAAAGTGTAAATTCTAAATTTTAATGGATTTTAAAATATGGGTATTTTAAATTGGGTATTAATTCAGCCAAATTTATTTAATTCATTTTATTCGATTTTAAATTTTGTATATCTATGTGTTTTATTTCATGGCTGTGCACCGCCCTGAGTCCTTCGGGAGTAGGGCGGTATAGAAATTCAATAAATAAATAAATAAAATAAAGATACCATAATAAATCTGGTTTACAATTCCATTGTTGCTAGTTCAAGAATCATAATGGAGTAGCAGAAATGATCAATTGTGGGAGATATGACTTTGGAGAAATACTGAAGTAGGAGAGAAAATAAGGCTGCAAAATTTCAGGTCAACAGACACTATTATTTGGGCTTCTGAAGCCAACAATGATGCATAATGCAAGATATGGCCCTGGAGGTGGCTATCATGCTTCTGTGTAGGACTGATTTGGCAGGATAATTGGACTGAACAACTAAACACCCAGATAGTAATGACTGAATATTTTGTCATGCATCAGTCAAAGAGTGGGAGGGAGATGAAGTAGCTGTAATTTGAGATAGCAAATTTGCCAACACAGGAACCAAAACTGATCCAACAGGAATGTATTCCCATTGAAGATCTGGGATGCTGCTAGCATGCCACCAAACTTTTCAAATCTACAGTATAATTAATGCAAGGTTCTGACTTTTATTTAACACAACACTGACATTCTACATATCTGAAATCCTTGGCAAAAAACAGATCACTGTCAAGAACTATCACTTTAACTATTATCCATCTGTGAATCTCTGCACCTATATGTTCCTTTCTTTTAAAGTTAACAGAGTTATTACTTCTGTAGCAAGACCCAAATAATCTCTCTGCTCTGGTAGTTATCACAATGATTATTGAAGCTATTTTTATTTCCTCAAGGACCCACTAATTTATGAATTCATGTCTCCTGCAGCCTTACAAAACACACCAACATCCTATTTATTTCAATGTTTTGTTTTTTAAAATCAGTCTCTTATGTTGGTTTCTTACAGACCTTTTTTTCAGACATTATGACCAAGATCAATACTACAATCGTTACATAATCTCCTGTTAGAAATGTAGACATTTATGTCTCATTTATAGCATGAGATAAGGGAACCTGCAGCCTTCCAGATACTGGACTACAACTTCCATCAGCCTCACCTGGAGTAGCTGAATGGAGATTCATGGGTGTGTCACTCCCAATTTGGTACAGCAACCAAATAGTTATACAGACTCCATACAGACTCCAACCGATAGCTAGGATTGCAGAAAAAACAACTTGCCTTCCATAGAGGACCTGTATATTGCACTGGTTAGGACGGCTGAGAAAATATCAACAGATATTTTCACATCCTGGATACAAACTGTTTCAATTCCTCCCCTTGGAAAGCCACTACAGGGCATTGCATGCCAAAACAATTAAGATACAGAGAAAGTTTTTGCCCTTGTGCCATCATTCTGCTGAACACCTAATTCCCACAGTACTATCCTATGTCTAAGTATATTTACTATGTGGTATGGCTGTATTCTTCTTCTTCTCATTTTCTCTACCACTTCCTCTTACTGATATCATCATTATTATAATGATTACTCTGTTGTTTTGCAAGTACACTGAGAGCTTCTGCACTAGAGACAAATTCCTTGTGTGTCTAATCAAACTTGGCCAAATAAAATATTCTAATTAATGGAGAATCTATTCTGTCTTGGTTTGGGCTATGCACATTTAATATTCACCCAATATACATAGAAAAACTTCTGAGTAACAACTCATATGCATAAACCATTATTATCTTCTTATCAATAAAACAAAAGGCCTTCTCTGCAGTTCTTTTCTGTTGTTTTTGTGTGTGTTTGTGCAAATAATTAAAACACTTAGTATTCTTCAGTGGAGGGGATCAGACTTTGTTCAATATTTTACTGGAAAAAAACAAAATTATTTAGAAGCTGATCATGGATATCCACTATTATCTAACATACGCACTCCTAACTCCTCCTCCTGCTCTCAGCTACCTGTTTCCTTGGTTACAATCTTAGTGGCAGAGCTGCTGCTTGCCTACCATTACAATTTGGCTTCAAAGCTTTAAATTTACATTGCAGTGTAAACTGGGAAGTTAACTGCAGTGAACTAATTCTTCAAGCAAATTCAAGGCTCTGTAGCAAAAAAGACAGCATAGGTAAATTTTGCAGATCAGAACACTTATCATTTATCTTGGCTGCTGTATATATTTATTTTTGAGATACTTTTATTTTTAAAATGCTTTTATTGTCTCAACTGTTTTTATAGATTTAGAACAATAAGCCGCCCAAAGTCATTGGTTGAAATGGGTGGCTACAGAAATTCAATGAATCAATGAATCAATGAATGAATGAATAAAATCTAAGATATGAAAAGCCGAATTGCATCCTGAAAAAATGAAAAGCCAAATTGCATCCTGACAAATTAGTCACCTTACATGTCATGTTTCCAAACCTATATATATTATATTTATGCACGTATCCTTTTTGCAAGAAATCAGAATTCAAAGTTCAAAAAAAAAGAGGTATTGAGTATATTGAGTAAAAAGGATCCTACTATTAAACACATCTCATGTATCCTTGTCAATAGTCAAGGTTTTACTATAAATAAAAATGTTTTTAATTTTCTAGAGTATTAGCTGCCTCATGCAAATCTGTCATCTGCAAATTTGATAACCATTTTTTTTCTACCTCATCATCACTATTAATAAAAATATTGAAGATTAGAGTACTCAGAATGGAACCTAGTGTCATTCTATTCAATTCTTCCCCCCCAACCTGATGATGAACCATTATTGAACCCTCTTGGAGTACTATTTTCAAATATCGTGTTTTGTACTTCTCATAACATCCAGCCAGCATGTAACTAGTGTGATCATTATGATTATCACAGGGCATTTTCCAGATGTTATCCTGAAAACAAGACATAATATGCTTGCAGCATTTTGGCAATGAATTAAGGAAATTTATCTGATCAAAATATGCAACAATATTAGTTGGCAAGATTTGTTCTTGGCAAATCCACCTTGAGTTTTTATTATTACCCTACTACTTTTAAAGTTGCCTGCAAGTATCCACTTCTTTGTAATCTGTTCTAGAATCATCCCAGGCACTGATACCAAACTGACTGGGCTGGTCCTCATTCTGCCCCTTTCCGATTACAGAACTGGCACTTGCTCTGTTCCTGCCATCTGGCACTTTCACCAGTTCTTCCAGAAACAGCAGGCAAAGTACATTGTCAGCTCAAATGGCTCCTAGTCCACCTTTCTTTAATACATTTTAAAGTGCTGATTTTAATTTTTTTTTTTAAAGTAAAACCTGGGACTAAATTGTCTGAAGTATCACCTTCCTTTATACCTATTCAGATCTTAGGATATTCTTCAGAGTTCCAATTCCATGCATCCATGCTAAGGCCACATGAGGAAACAGAACAACAGAGGGACCTTGGAGGTCTTCTAGTCCAACCCTCTGATCAAACAAGAGACCCTATACCATTTCAGACAAATGGCTGTCCAGTCTCTTCTTAAAAATCTCCAGTGAGGGATCACTCACAACTTCTGGAGGCAAGTCATTCCACTGGCTAATTGTTCTCACTGTCAGGAAATTTCCCTTTAGTTCTAGGTTGTTGCTCTCCTTGATTAGTTTCCATTCATTGCTCCTTGTTCTTCAGGTGCTTTAAAAAATAGGTTGACCCCCTCCCTTCCTTGTCGCAGCCCCTCAAATATTGGAACAACAGCAGTGAATCTCTTCCTTAGATAAGCTCATCTGACTCTTTTGCCTTTGAAAAAAATTATAAAGCTAAATCCTCACTGGACCATTAAATCATTTTATTTTTTCTGCTACTAGAAAATAACTTTTAAGATATATTTTGCTGTTAATTTTGATTCAAATCATAAAAAAATGAATATTGCAGTTTATCACCAAATTTTATTCTTTCTTTTGTAAATTACTCAGGAATATATACTGATTAAACAGATTAAATATTGGAAGATATTTCAAGACAAGATGGAACGTCTTTTTATATAAGTGAAAGTCTGCTCATAAATTCTGCATCTCACATTATTTCAAATTATTGATCAACTAATGTATAAAAAGGTTGTTTTAATTCAATGTACAAAAAACTGTCATCTCTAATCATCATCTTCACTACTAAGCTATCCTATTCCTCAACAAAGGAAAATGAACCTTGGAGTTGGCTTTAAAAAATTGTCAGTTATCCAGGGAGCAAAGAATGTCAATAGATAAAGTTTGTACATACAGTTTTCGTTCAAGAAGAAAAAACAAATAAAAAAGTGGTCTTAACACCAACGGAAGCTGATCAGTTTCAAATCATTATTCCATTTGTCTAAATCTTATTCAACATTTGTTGTACTTCTCTACTATTTATCTGAACAGGTTTAAAATAAAAGATTGGGTTCTTCCATTTTAAAATGGGAACATACAGTTTCTGGATTTACCAATCAGGTACAGTATATGATTAGGGCAAATGAGAATTGAACTGAAATTCTGCAATGACACAGGAAATATTGCTTAGCAGATTCACTACAATTAGGACATTTTCCAGCCTCATCCAGAAATGGCAGCAAAAAACCCTGCATTCAAACACTAACCTACTACCAAAGCATCCCACCCTATCACCAAATAGCTCATCAAATGCTATTTAGAGCTATGAACTGGTTAGTAATGGCTTGAGCACTGGGTTTATGTGCTATCCATCTATTTTTAGATAGGTGGGACAGAAAGAGCTATGTTGTATTATGCATTTAAAGTATTTAAAATATGTGTTTCAACTGAATTACATTCCAGGTTTATAAACTCACAGGCAGAGGTTTCTTCCTCATCTCAAACATCCGGGTAGCACCAAAGCTAAGCGATGCAATTATGGGATTTTTTCCCAGTGTAGGCTCATCATCGCTATGCCAGTCAACACTGTTCTTTTCATTTTGGTAAAGATTACAGAGTAGGGAGTTGAAAGTATTCTTGGTGAAATCTTCTACAAGATCCTTCAACATGGCTAGTAGTGGGTGCCACTGAAATCAAAGGAGAAAAAAAAGGAGGTAAACATCACAACTACAAGCAAACTCAGCGCCCAGTAAATAAGATAGCTATATTACTAAGAAGCCTGTTTCCAATTGTAATATCACTAATTTGAAACATAAAGAAAAAATACTGTACTTAGAACTTGTGCTCAAAATTTAAGCATAATGAAATAAAAATCCCTCATCTTATATATGTAGGAACATATAGCAGTTAAGTGGTTGCACTCTTAAGAAAGTGGGCAGTTTGTCAATATTTCATATAAACTAGAGTAGGAAGTTAAAAAAAAAAAAAACACAACAACCCAGAAGAAGGTAACAGTAATTCATGCCTGTATTACTGCCAAGAAAATGGGCACATGCATGTAACTGACAAGAATGATTCTGGGTACAACTCAAGGTGCTGTGATCAACACATTTTAAATTCTATATGGACTGGAGCCAGGCAATCTCAGGAACATTTAGATTTCATCTTCCCAATATGTTCTGGTAATCCCCACCATTTGCAAAGTGGATGAGAGAGGACTCAGAGGCAAGCATTCTCTTCAGGAGCTCCCTCTTGCAGAATGCCCTTGCACTCGTATAAGAACTGCACCCTCAGTTTTAACATTTAGGAAGGTCTTGGTAACATCCCTTTCCTACTGTAAATTTAGAGAACTGAGGTGAGAAAGGGAGATGTTCTTTTGATGTCATGACTTACAATGACTCTATTGGGTTTTAAGCAGACTATATTTAATGGTAACTTTGACAATGTGTCATTGTGACCTGAATTGTATTGCTGTAAGCTATTTACAGTCAAATGATTGAAGCAGTATTTCTTAATAAATAAGCCTTTACTTTTATACAATTGTATCTTTACATACATACAAATACACATTTTTGCATCTGATTTGCTAGACCCTTAGTTGCTCATATTCTAGAAAGGTACTGATAGCTTATGAAAGTCTTTCAGGGCTTAAGTGCCAGAAAGTTCATTAACATCTGATTAAATAATGTAAGAGCTTCATGGCTAGCAAAGTCCTTTTATAGAGGGTCACCAAAGCTTGCATGTTTTGCAATATCATGATTAATTGGTGCTTGCCTATAGCATTTTCTACTTTATGCCTGAACTATATAAGGGCTACAGGTAGTCCTCCTTTAGGGACAACTGGAATGGGCAACTCAAGTCATTAAGAGAAATGAGTCACTGAATGAAACCACAAGTGTGCTTATGATCTTACTTCACCTTTCCTTGCTTTGCTTCACAGGTACTCCTCAATTTACGACCACAATTGAGTCCAAAATTTCCATGGCCACAGTTATTTAGTGAATCACTGCTCTTGTTACTAACATGGTTGTCAGGTGAATCTGGCTTCCTCATTGACTTTGCTTGTCAGAAGGTCACAAAACATGACCCTGGGCACTGCAACCATTATAAATACAAGCTAATTGCCAAGCATCAAAATTATGATCAGGTGATTATGGGGATGGTGCAACAGTCATAAGTGTGAAAAATTGTCATTTTTCAGTGCCATTATAACTTCAAATAGTCATTAAATGAATGGTTATAAGTCAAGGACTACCTGTAAAAACCTACGTTTGCATACATGAGGATAGGTCACAATTTTTTCATCATTGTCATAACTGTGAATGATTGCTGTACAAGGCAGTTGCTAAGAGAGGATTACCGTATTTTTCAGAGTATAAGATGCACCTTTTTTCCCCAAAAAGGGTGAAAATCTGGGTGCGTCTTATACTCCAAATGTAGCCCCGCCCAGCTTCTCAAACGGAAGTTTCAGAGGCTGAAAAAAGCATCAGAAAAAAAGCTTCAGAAAAAAAGCCTCCAAACAGAGCTTCAGAAAAAAGCCTCAGAAACAGCTTTTCGGAGGCTTTCAGAGGCGGGGAAAAAAAGCCAAAAAAAAAAAAAAAAAAAAAAGCAGCAAAGCACAGAGCTCACAACCAACAAACCTGTTGCTAAAATTTACCTCTGGGAACAGCTGATTGGGCATATTCCGGGAGGCCAATCCACCTGCCAATCAGCTTTTTTCTTATTTTCCTTCCCAAAAACTAAGGTGCGTCTTGTACTCCGAAAAATACAGTACTTATAATTTGTTATCTTGTTGCAGATGTGTATTTGAATTACAAAAATTAAACCAGTTACAAAGTTGCTCAACTAACAAGCTGCCTAAATTCTTCATGGGAGTTCAATTTTGCTAAGAAAATTTCTAGAATTTCCTCAATGGTTTAATACCCAAGGTAGTTGGGGGTAGGGAGGGGTTCCCTTAGCAAACCATGACATAAATCAATTTAAAGTCAGAATTAGCACTGCTATTTGACAGGAAAAAACATTGTTAAGTTCTTCTCTCAATTTTAACTGAAGTAAGGAAAAATATTGTATGATTTCATTATGTGGCATGAAGAGTGATAGCAATTTTTACTCTGTTCTTTTCCAATACTGCCCTCCAGTGTTTGATAAATGCTAGGTTCTCTCCCCCCCCTCTCCCCAAGAAATTTCCATCATCCATCCAACAGAAATTCAGGTAAGATCACCATATTTTAAAGTATACATTAATTAGGTTTATATCCTACAGAAAACTCACGGGCTATACCTGTAAGTCAAGAGTTGGGAAGAAATCCAGATTAAGCAAAGGAACAAGGGGAGGACAGTCTGAAAATTGAAATTGAGACTCAAACAAATTATAAGAGATAGTCTGTGAGTGCAAACCACTACCCAAAGTATGGAGGCATTAAAAGAAGATCTGTAAAAAATATTCCATTTTCATTCTCAATTCTCCAGTAACTGAGGAAGAAGAATGCACATTCAAAGGTGCATATGAAAACAGCACAGCAGATGGAACAAACCAGGCTGAATAGCCAATGCTGTAGTGCCTTGAAAGCTCAATAAATGCATTCCCTAACCTCCTCAGCAAGGCACAGTAAGAATACTGTGTATTAAATATTGTTCTGTCAAAACATCAGCTGCTTACTTTTTAACAAACCTCTGTTCAGGAGAGGGAAGAAGGAATGGCCTTGAGAGATAGGAGGAAGATTTGTTATGATAATGGTCAGAAAAAGGGCTAAGTCTAGGGCAGAAATTGTAATCTGAGTAAACAACTCAGACAATTGCTTAATGCATTGTAAGCTGCCCTGAGTCTCCGGAGAAGGGCGGCATATAAATTAAAGCAAAAACAAACAAAACAAAGATTCTCCTTAGTAGTCACAACGATAAAGGAAGGGGGGGGGAGGCATACTCAAACTTGCAAGATTCTGTTACTATAGTTTTTCAATAAAAGTAGTACTACCTACACAATACTGCATTCTTAGTCTGATCTACCGTGAAAGGATCACATCATCCCTTATGAAATCATGACAAATTTTAAGGATCAGCTGAGTTTCTGTTTCAAAGGTAAAGATAATTCAGCTGTGATTGAGGGATTTTCCACTAAAGGAAAATCCGCTTTATCCTGTCTCAGGGGATTTACCCCCGTCACAATTCTCCACAGTTGCAACAAGAAGTGGCTTTGCTGTTTTCTCATTCCCATCCCCTGTATCCAGTGGAGTTGTATTTTTTCTCCCTTGCTTGAAAAGCAATCACAGTGAAGGAGGAATGCCTGAAATTCAGATCACCATTGTTATTATGGCTTTTTAATTTTATTTTTCAACTTTAGAAAACTCAAGATCCATACGTACATCAGGGTTTGCTTGCATTTCAAGTCTGGAATAGGTGTAGGGTAGTTTTCCATACCATGCTGTGAGTCTGGGTTCGTCATAAGATCGATCTACAGAAAGAAAATTGAATGCAATTATTAGGGCTACTATGGAAACCAGTAATAAATGGTTATAAAGTTTTTTGACATTTAGGGAATAAATGACAATAACTCGTTTAGCAATGTTTTGTCTTCTCTAGATAAAAAAGCTAAGCAAATGAGACTTTAAACTTGCAATTCATAAATTATACGACCAAGAGAAAATTATTCTAGGCTATTTATACATCAATTAAGTTGTTCTGTTTGATATACAAATTACTAGAGGGAAATGTAAGAAGTAACACAAATGCCCTCAAGTGAACCAAGCTCAGACAGCTTATGGTTTGAATGTCATGGTACTTATACCCAAATCCAATAGATAAAAAAATAAACAGAACAATGAAAAGTTTGTTATATGACTAACCAAAAACATCCCATTGTAAAGAATCTGTTCTACCACAGAAGGTGTAGTCCCAACTTCCTACTGCCTTTTGAAACTCAGGAACAGGCAGACCAGTTCAGAGCTGAAAAGATAACACTGAATCTTCAGCCTCTCTGCCTTCTCAAAAAAAAAAAAAAAAAAAAAAAATCACCAGCAAAACACAGTACAAACAATGAAGAATCACTAGTAGGTGCACAGAACCTTTCTGAATCTTTAGAGCAGAAAAAACATGTAATTGTTTTGGCTATCTCCTTATACAAAACAAAACAAAACAAAACAAAACACAGGTTAGCCCTAAATCTGTGTGTTAAGTGGAGATTAGAATTGGTGGCAGAGGGCCAGATATTTTTCTGGCTGCTATGGATTCTACTAGAGTGAATATTTCAAGATTTACTGCTGGACCTTGCAAAAACAGGAGTCAACAGTTAAAGGAGATTGATAACAAAGCTACCGTGTCTAACGTGTGTTCTTTGCCTCCATGGAATTTCATGGAACAGCTGATCAAACATCCAATCTGCTTCACTCAAGGAAATGAAGCCAGGAATCAAATGAATCCTAGAATAAAGAAAAGTCACATCACATGTTGATATTTTCTGATTTTATTTCAAACTAAGACATTCCAGGCAGGTTCTGTGTCATTTCTTTCCATCAAGCAAAGAAAACAAGTGGCTTGCTAAGAAGAGTACTCACCACCACCACTTAAATATTGTGAGTTGCTTAAGAGTTATCAAGCTCCTCCAGTCCCCACTTGCTTATGTTTATAGTTTTGTTGGATAACTTTTTTTAAAGCTCACATTTTCTTCTTGTACCTTGCCTGGAGGACAAGAGAATAGTCTCATGGCATCCATTTTTTTTTAAAAAATTGATTTATATGCAGCCCTTCTCCGAAGACTCAGGGCGGCTTACAATGTGCTCAGCAATAGCCTTCATCCTTTTGTATATTTATACAAAGTCAGTTTATTGCCCCCACAAACTGGGTCCTCATTTCACCTACCTTAGAAAGGATGGAAGGCTGAGTCAACCTTGAGCCTTGGCGAGATTCGAACCCTGCAGTAATTGCAGGCAGCTGGTCTTAATAAGCTTAATAACAGGGTGCCTTAAACCCCTGTACTACCAAGGCTCTTTTTGGGAAATAAGAACAGAGAAGTAGATGTAAGGAGAAGTAAAGTATATGATTTATGTCGAAAAGGTGATTGGGAAAACAGTTAATTCTTCTAGACTTCTCAATAACCTTCAATACCACCATTATATCATTTTGAGTCAATGATAGGCCAATGCAGGCATAATGATATGAGGTTCCAGGTCATTCAGGAGGGACGTTTGAAAACTATAGATTCTTTGAAGCAGATAAGAAGTCAGTGATGATATTAAAATGTGCACACAGATGTGTAATTTGGATCTGGTTATAGCACCAATTCATTTACCATGTTTCCCCGAAAATAAGACCCTGTCTTATAGTTTTTTGAACCCAGAAATAAGTGCTTGGCCTTATTGCCATGCGCTCAAAAGCCCAACTGGGCTTACTATCAGGGGATGTCTTATTTTGGGGGAAACAGGGTATTGTTAACTTCTTAAACAGGTCTGGAATCTCATGTAACACATTTTTGAATCACTTTGGCTCTCGTATAAATAGCATGACAAAACCAATAAACAGAAGACAGAGATTACTTTTTCTGAACACAAGTCCTCTTCTGTAAGTGGTAAGAACTCCCTGTAAGCTTTTCTTCATTAGAAAGGAAAAATTAAGTTCAATCATGTTCTTTTGTTAGCACAGATATTTTTTGTGCATCATGGAGAAAGTGAGATTTGGAAAAGGAATGAAATTCAATGTTCTCCTAACAAAAAATCTATGGGTAAGTTTCCAAGCCCTGAAAGCAGGTATTTCTTCCTCTAGTAGCATTCTTTGGATCCAGGAAAAAAAAAAAAAAAGCAAAATACAAGATTTACTCAACATGGAAGGAGAAATACACAAAATAATTGTTATTTTTGTTATTGTGGGTGTACAATAAAGGGAGATCCCCAAGTATGTCTGCTTTGGGGAAAAAACTCAGAATTTTAAATCTAGCAAATAAATATATAACATTGTTGGAAGGTAACTAATAGGAATGGTCTTGATCCAATGATTCTTTTCACCTGAAGATTTAGTAAAAACAGCCTTAAAAACAGTTAAGCTTCAACTACATTGTAGACTTATAAGGTATCTGTCAGAAAAGAAAGCCAATATGGACAAAACAAGTGTCTTTGATTAAAGATAAAAGGATGTTCTTAACAGGTGAAAGTTATTTATTAATAAATTTTATTAATACATTTCTGTACAATACCACGGTCCTCCATGTCTGTAGTCCTTTGTAACATCTTTGCTATAATGACTTACCTGTATTTTTCGGAGTATAAGACGCACCAGAGTGTAAGAGCTCTGGTGGCTCAGCAGACTAATTAACATCCACTTACATCTGCTGCCTGCAATTACTGCAAGTTCAAATCTCACCAGGCTCAAGGTTGACTCAGCCTCCATCCTTTCTAAGGTAGGTAAAATGAGGACCCAGATTATGGGGGCAATAAGCTGACTTTGTATAAATATACAAAAGTATGAAGGCTATTGCTTAACGCATTGTAAGCCGCCCTGAGTCTCCGGAGAAGGGCGGCATATAAATCAAATTAAAAAAAAAAAAAAGACGCATCTTAGTTTTTGGGGAGGAAAATAGGGGAAAAAAATTCTGCCTACCAGATATTTATCTGGCTACTCCCAGCACATTAGTTCACTCACTGGTTTTGAGGTTGGGGCTGATTGGGGTATCAGCTTCAGCACATTAGTTCTCTCGCTGGTTTTGAGGTTGGGGCTGTGCTTCAAAAGCACAGCTGATCCTCGGAGGGAACTCCAGTGACTAAAGTAGGCAAAGTGCGGAAGGTGTAAGAGAAGGCAGCAGCTGTTCCGGGTAGCCATTTTGGGCACCGCACAGGGTTACATTCGAAGTATAAGCAGCACCCAAATTTTCAGCCTCTTTTAGGAGGGAAAAAAGTGTGCCTTATACTCCGAAAAATACGGTAATACTAATTAAAATACTTAAACATAATCCTAACAGAACTATTCTGCAAGAACACACACACACACACACAAAGTGTTAGATACTTACTTTGATATTCCTGAGGGCAATGTGCTGATCTCATATACACCCTGTTTTCTGCAGTAGAGGAGGAAAAAAAAATCCATCATGGTAGGGTAGACATAAAAGATTCAAACTATTAATTAGGGTTAGAGAAAGGGATCCAAGGGATATATACTATGTTTCCTTGAAAATAAGACCGTCTTATATTTATTTGAACCCCAAAATAAGCGCTTGGCCTTATTTTCAGAGGTCTTATTATTTTGGGGCACAAGGAGCAAGATGGGGCTCCTCTTGCCGTCTTATCTGATTTCCAGCTCTGCGTTTAAATATTTTTGGGGAGGGCTTATTTTCCGGAGGGCAGGCTTATTTTAGCGCATGAGCTCAAAAGCCCGATTGGGCTTATTATCAGGGAAACAGGGTAGGAGTAAAAACACATTACAGGTAAACCTTGACTTATGATCATTCATTTAGTGACAGTTCAAACTTTTGACAGAAGTCACTGAGAAAAGTGATTTATGACCTGTCCTTGTACTTATGACCGATGCACTGTCCTCATAAATCATGTGATTGCATTTGGGTGCTTGGCCACTGGAATGTATTTACAACAGTTGCAGCATCTTGGGAGCATGTAATCACCACCTGTAACCTTTCCAAGGAGCTTTCAGCAAGCAAAGTCATTGGGGAAGCCAAATTTGCTGCATCGCTTAGTGACAAAGTTCTGGTCCCAATTGCAATTGTATGGACTTCCTGTAAAAGTAACAAAGCCAAATGAGATACCGGTATTAAAATGAACTAAAAATGAAAATACTTACTCTATTACTCTGGGTTCTGGGACTTTGCATACAACCTAAGGATTTTAAAAAAAAAACTTACATTTTTATAAAGTATGTATATTTAGTTTACTTTAAGGGGGAGGGAGTGTAAAAAATAATTAGAAATCATATATTTTGCAATCAAAGTGACAAATATTGCTGAAGATTCCAATTATAATTGTTTAGTTATGCTGCTCTATGATGCTGATAATGCATCTGAGTTGGGAGACTATTTTTTAAAGAAAATGCACACAAGAAATCATTAAAATGTGCTTTCTATGTGTTCAGGCATTTTTATATACATATAAACAAAGCAATAACAATATAATACAATATTTTTACCTCTTCAGGTGCTTTAAAAACAAACTGTCTTTTAGATGAAAGCTCTGCCTCTCCTTGGAATGTGGATGGTGCTGAATTGGCAAATGTTTGATTTCTAGCATTGGACTTTCTAGAGGCTAACACAAGAAGGAACAGTTATCAAACTAGATAACAAGAACTTTCATATTTTCAATATTATTTATTAATCATATTTTCAAATTAAGCACACACACACATATACACACATACACGTAACATTTTATCCTTTGGCATTTCTACTTCAAAGGGCAGTGTGGTGACTCAGTGGTTAAGATGCTGGGCTTGTCAGCTGGAGAGCCGGCAATCCAGGTTTGAGACCTGAGCGCCATATGATGGAGTGAGTTCCCATCCTTTGCCCAGCTCCTGGCAACTAGCAGTTCAAAAGCATGCAAATGTGAGTAGATAAATAGGTACCACTTCAATAGGAAGATAACAGCGCTCCATATCATGCTGGCCACATGAACGTGAAAATGTCTTCGGACAGCGCTATCTCAATGGCCTTGAAATTTTACCTTTTACTATCTCTACTTCAGGAACTGTGATTTTTGTGAGAGGGCTCAAAGTTTTGATAGCACTTATTTCTTTCATGTAGAGCCCCCATGTGCGAAGTACTTTGAGAATCTGATATTAAAAATAATACAATCTAAAATCAGGCTTGTTATTTTTTCATGCTCTTATGAAGATACGCATGGAGGCTTTGAGACAGGCTCAAACAAGCGTATGAATCACTTCTCATGGTTTCATTTCCGTCATGCTATTATTGAAGAAATCTATACCTTTGCATTGAAACCATATTTTTATAGTAGTAAAATCTATTATAGCAAGCTCTATGGGTTTTTTAAAAAACACTTAAAAAGCTTATATTATAATCCTATATTTAACTAGCAGTAAACTTCAACATTAAATAGGATTTATTTCTGAGGGACCATGCATACAATTAGACTGAAATGACCTTTACCTAACTGTTCAATTATTTGGGTCATGGAGAAAATATAATATTAATGTGTCATATTTAGTAAACAAACATTTGAAAAGTCCTAGATTAAATCTATTTATGGCAGTCAAAATTAGGTCAAAGGTTTCTAAGAACCCAGATCAATAATCACTGAAGTTAGGAAACTGTTTCTAGAGCCTCTATTCTAAAGATCTTAGGGAGGCAATTAAAGCCCTTGTTTTGACAATCTCCCTTAAGTTGTAGAGATTTAATTGTTTTAAATAATATTTTATTTTCAGAAATGAAAAGCTAGTATATTTCAAACCAACCACCATCTTCTGCCAAAAATTGCATTTCTAACTACCTCTTTGCCTTACAGGTTGGAGAAGGGGGAGAGATCAGGAAGCATAGCTCTTTATATATAAGCACAATAAAACAAGATGGTAAAGAGCAGGATGAGAAGTAGAAGGAGACACGTATCAATCTACCTTGGAGGTTTTGTCATAAGTGACCATTTTCTGAGAGTGGCCATCAAGATTCCAAATGTTTCCACTAGCCTCTAAATTTGATGTTTTTCATTTAAAATGTTTCATTAAAGCAAAATGCCTTGTGCCACTAGTACACATGTGCAAAAAGACTTAAGACCTTTAGTGGCCCAACAGGCCAAAAGATGTTTGATCTAAATAGCTAACCCCAAGATTGGGTCAGTAGTCAAAAGATAGCTAATTTGGAAATAAAATGAACTATCAGAGTAGCATCGGATAGAAGAAATCAACCTAGAAAACTAGTTCACAGCCCGAAGGGGCTGCATAAAGGAACCCCTTCTGTAGTATTTATAGGTAGGGAGAAGATCTTTGTGAATTGGTAGCAGTGTTCCTGCTAGGCAACAAGTTTAATTTAGTTTATTTATATACATTAGAACAAGACACCATTTACCTGAACATGAAGTCATTCTGCTATTACCCTGGCTAGCCCAGCCACCCTGGACTCTGGCTCTCTGCCTTTTATTTTCCATTACTCTTCTTTATCAGTCTCGTTGTAAGGAGTTTAACATTCCTAAATCAAAACACATATATTAACACACCTCTAAACTGCTTAGATCTTAGTTCCTACTGCTTTTGAAGAAGGGTGTAATGCACCCTTATTAATGCATGAACAGAAAACACAGAAGAGCGCCTCTCTATACATTACTAGGAAACAAAATCTGTAACATCACATCATTGTTAATAGAAAGGTAGGTAAGAAACTATCTTCTATCAAAAATGCAGGAGCACCCAAGTTCAACAACCTGGCACTGTTTTATAGGAATAGGTCTTGTTACGATCAAAAGCCTTTATTATTATTATTATTATTATTATTATTATTATTATTATTATTATTATTATTATTATTATTATTATTATTATTTTCTTATTATTCGTTTTTCCCTAACCACAGATTTCAAGAGACCGCTCAGAGTGTCTGCCTAACAAGGGCCATCGAGTATCCTGGCAGGCAAGGCCCAAGGACACCCTGCAAGGAAAGCAGCCTCATTTTTATCCTGGAAGTAACATTGCAGATTGAACTGCTGTACACTATGGTCCATGTGTGCAGAACCAACTCCATACTGCCACACCAGCCAAGGATTATGGGCCATGGGATTCAATAAATCCTGAAGTCACTTATTTGGAAAAGGAAAAAAAAAGGGGGGAGGGAGCGGGGAGAGGGAATAATAAAACAGGCTTATTAAGGGCTATCTTTTTGTTCTCCTCCCCACACCCCACTCCCACTCCCCCCCCCCTCCAACCGCCAGACCCAAAGCTCTAAAATTCCCCTCCGGCTACAGAACCGCAAGGCTTTCAACACCAATTATGAACGTTTCTCTGCTGCCTCTTTTCCTTCAGTCCCACTTTTTTCCCCTCCCTTTAATCAAGCGCGCTTACGGGCCACAGAGCTACTCACACAAGCGCGCCACCAACAACTACGCCCTCCGCGCCGCAGGCGACCTCCACCAAGAAGGAGAGGGGGAGGGGAGGGGAATAAATAAATAAATAAAACAAAAGCGCCTCCAAGCCCACCTGCGCGCGCACTTTCCGAAGGACCCGCCCTTTTCTCTACGGCATTTATTGAGCAGAATAGGCGACTTCCTCGCGCCGGTATCGTTGGGGGCGGTAAGACGCCCTTCGCCCCGCCCACCGTGGCGTCTCCGCTCCTATCCGCGGATCGGAAACGTAAAAGGAGCGGGAGGCGGGGCTGCGCTCATTGTCTTGGCAAAGATTCTTTCCGCAGAGCAGCCTTGCCATGCTCGTTGGAAAACTTTTCCGGGTCGACGCGACACCCCGTTTCCCACACACACACACACACACACACACACACCCCGGAGATGACTAGGATGTTTACGGCAGGATCTGAGCGGGAGAGTCTCTGCCGGCTGCTGTACCTTAGCAACTGGCATTCTGAGACGAGATGCTTAATGACAGAGAGCTTTACCCTCACATTTTCATCAATGGTGTTAAGCAGTTTCACATTTTAGGGTTTAAAATGAGAATTAACTTTTCGCCGCGTTTACAGTTCTCTTAGAGCAGAGGTCTTCAAACTTGGCAGCTTTAAGACTTGTGGACTTCAACTCCCAGAATTCTGAAGCTATGCTGGCTGGAGAATTCTGGGAGTTGAAGTCCACAAGTCTTAAAGCTGCCAAGTTTGAAGACCTCTCCCTTAGAGATAAAAGTGTGCGTGGAACTCCTGATTTATAACTTGACCTGACTTGTTTACTCAAAAGCAAGGCTGTGATGCTTACTGGAGAGGGAAACTAGATATACCTAAAGGCTTTTAGTCAGATTGTGACTTAACATCTTTTGCTATGTTTGTGTTCACTTTTTTTTTTAAAAAAAAAATATTTTGATGCACATTCAGAAGCAAGCAGGAGAAAAGCCTAACGTTTTGCAGTCTGCTAGTGATCAAATCAAACCTAACAACCAGCCCAGACGCTAAAGGAAGAAATGGTGTGAACACCTGGGACATTATCTAAGAGCTCTTTGTTGCAGACTGTTGCTTGAAGACACATCCTGACAACATCCTTTTGCCACATCTGTGAATCTGCCTTCATTTCAAACTCCCTAAAGGAGTTAGACTCAGGTTGTCCTAAGCAGAGTTCATGCAATTGGCTACATTTTGCCAAGCCATTAGACTAGAAGTGAACTCAGCTAGGATCAACATTTGTGGACTATGATATGGGCAAATTTCTGGTCCTAGATTCCAGATTCACTGGCCACCATGCAGTTCCTCCAAAGACAGCAACACAATGCCTGTGATGTATCAAAATTGCACAATAGCTGACAGCACTGTGGGCCTTAATGTTTACTGCAAAGCTGAAAAAGCATGTACCTGGAACAATGGAAATCCCCTCCGCCACCACTCCCCACCCTGCTTCACATAAAGAGCCCACAGAAATATGGAAGTTGGCATTTGCCAGGATAAGGAAAGAGAAATCCTAAGTGTTTGTGATGTTATTATAAACTAAATCATTTATGCCAAAGGGTTGTATAACTGTAGTATTGTAACTGTCCACTGCAGGTAAAGATGAGAGCTGGAATTAAGAGTATCTCAACTTTGCCTGAGCTAGTGTTATGGTAGAATACTTCAACTTCCTTGGATATACCCACAATTGGCTTCTGTAAGCAAATGGGAAACAAATCCTGAACAAGTGTTGATAAATGTTCCTATTTTCCATGAGCAAGTCTAGTATTATACAATTTCTTATTGAAGCAGCGCTTCAGTGAATTCTGGGAGGGAAATATAGAAAGTATTCCTTGGGTGTTAAGATACATACTAGTTAACAGCATCTGTCGTTTTCTGGTTCCCATAATTGCAGTCAATGGCATTCTCAGTAAATCCTCTTTGCACTGATGTGCTGTGATTCTCACACTAGCTAGGCCAGCATTTTAGGGCTTTTCGTGTGATATAAAGTTGGGACTGTTTTTTGTTTATTTGATAAAGTTGTGTTTATTTTTCAAATATAGAGGATTCTCAATATTCGTCATATTTATGTTCTATAATTGAGTTAGCAAATACCAAAATAGATGAGTATGTGCCCGATGGGATAACTTAAAATTTTCACCACTTTGTATGTCCGTAACTGACCAAAAAGTGCTGTATTTATTTATTTATTGAATATATATGTCGCCTATCTCCCGAGTATTCTCAGGTGACTCAGTATTCATTTTGTGATTGCAAATATATGTTAGTGAATAGGCAAAGGGTAAATAACAATTGTATATCCTGCTTTACAATAGTGAAAAAGAGCCATCTAAGCAGGGGTGTCAAACTGGCGGGCTGCGGGCCAGATGCATCATGTGTAGGCCATGTTGACCCCAGCTCCGTGAAGGGGGAAAACATTGCGATGCATCCTGTGATGGCAACAAGATACCGCGAGTTTGGCACCCGTGATCTAATGGGTCCAATTACAGGCAGGGAATTCTAAGGGCTACAAAGAAGAAGAAAAGACTCAGGAGTTTGATGGGCCTGAAGGTCCCCGTTTATCCACCCTTCACTATAAAGATCATTTTTCTTTTATGTAGTATGTTAAACATCAGAACCCAAAATCTCCAGCCAGCATAACTGCAGCAAAGAGAATCCTATTCCATCATAGAAATTTAGACGTAGAGAACACATCCATCAGTTCTAATGGGAATACTTCAATAGGATGGAGGTATAGCAATAGAATCTCTCATACAGGTAGTCCTTGACTACCTTTAGTTACAATTGACATCCCAGAGGTAGTCAATCACCTGTTATCAGAGTTATGATAACCCCATGCATCCCACAGTCATGTGATCAGATTTGGGGCACTTAGCAATTGGCTGACGTTTATGGCTGTTTGCAGCATTCTGTGATCACATGACTGCAATATACAATGTTTTTTGCTGGTTCCTGCAATGATCACAATGACTTACAAGCATAATTCTGGCATCAACTACAGTTGGAAGTCAAGGACTACTTGTATGAGATGCATAAATACGGTAAGTCTGACAGTTCTTTCTTTTCTCAGACTACGTTTGGTGCTGCTAGAGATGCAATCCAGGCTATGGATTTTTCCAGGATAAATGCCCCGTTATTTTAACTGACATTCACACACACACAAAAAGAATTTGCAGTGTAACTATAAAAGTACCAGGAGAAATATGGAAACCAGAGATGAAATAGGAGAACAATTATTTTTTTATTCCCTGCATCCTGCATCCTGTCATTTGTCCATTTTTATTTATCTTTATTCATTTTGTAAATAATTCAAAGCAGTGAACGTAATATTCCTTCCTCCGCCCATTTCCTCTCCACCAACAACCCTGTGAGATGATTGAGATTATTGAGACAGAATAATTAGCCCAAAGTCACTGAGCCATCAATTTTATACTGAATTAGTTTCTCTTCTGAGATTTCATGACTATTCTAATCTAAATAACCTTTTATTATTTTGAAAGACATTACAAGTCCACAGCCAAGAATAATCTACTGGAAACGATGTAGAAGAAAAAAAAACCAATCCACTCAGGCTACAAAACCAAGATGTTGGTAATGAAGAACCAAAGATCTCAGCAGTCAATCCATTCTGCAGAAGGCAAGTGATCAAGTCACAAGTGGCACAATATGCATTCTTGCAACACAAATCTTATTTTGTGAATTCAAAGTACTATTACAATCAGCACTTTCTCTTCTCTTCCTTGTTATATAGTTTTCATGGATAAATTGATAATTTGCCTATATTAAAATAAGTTTCTGTACAAAACTTTTTTAGATGTTACTTTATAATTTTGATATAATTCTAAATACAGTCCAATGTTTTCATGTGTTGTATTTGTCAATTAAAATAAATTTTACCTTCAATTCTAAAGAAAACCTCAAAAAATCCCAATTTTATTTTTTCCATATCCATCTGTACCCTTTAGATCTCTTTTGCAACCATTGTTATGTCAATCAATCAATATATGTGTGTGTGTGTGTGTGTGTGTGTGTGTGTGTGTAATCTAAGTAAATAACAGAAAAACCTTCAGATAATTTTTATTTTAATCATAAAATGTTACAGATTTCATTCTAAATATATATATTATTATATACCAGCAGATATTTTACATACTTCCAAATATTCTATAAATTGCCATGTGTCCTTCAATAATTCTCCAATAAAAAATACAGCCATTCTGGACAAAATGGGCATTGGTCTTACCTTAAATGCCAGATTTCTTGAGGGGGGTGACATTGTCCAGATGAGGGTTATATCAGTCGGATCTGATGCTGGCTGAGTCATAACTTTTGACCACTCCCCTTGCTCCGCCCCTTTCATGCTCAGTTTTGACGAAGGAAGGCCACCAGAAGTATCTCCAACAGGAACCACCGTTATCAGGAGGAAGTAATTCGGTCCAACGGGACAACTGGAAAAAAACTACTGAACAAGAACAATAAACTGTACAGGCACTGAGACAGAGGGAGGGGCTGGACAATGTCACCCCCCTCAAGAAATCTGGCATTTAAGGTAAGACCAATGCCCAATTTCCTTGATGAGGGTGTGACATTGTCCAGATGAGGGACATACCAAAGATTTGGCTGTCTCAAGGGCGGGATGTCGAAGGGCCTGGAGAGACCCTCGCACGATGCACCTGCTGCAAAACCCTCCTGCCAAATGACGCTTCAGCAGAAGCAAAGGTATCTATCTTGTAATGACGAATAAATGGCGAGGGGGTAGACCAGGTGGCTGCCCTACATACCTCCTCAAGGGAGGCCTGAGTCGCCCAAGCTGCTGAGGTAGCAGCACTCCTAGTGGAGTGGGCAGTAATGCTATTGGGAACAGGAATCGCCTGGGCCTGATATGCCGAGGCGATGCAAGCCCTGATCCATCTACCAATTGTGGCAGAAGAGACTTTGAGCCCTAGGGAGCCTGGCAAAAAGGAAACAAACAAAGCCTCTGACTTCCTGAAGGGAGCAGTCCTTTTGATATAAATCTTTAGGGCCCTCCGTACATCTAAGGTATGCCACCTTCGTTCCAAGGCATGAGAGGGCCGGGAACAGAAATTGGGCAA